CCCTTTACCACCTGAAGGAAACCAGGACTAGCATTAACAGTATTAATATTATTCGTGGTCCTGGGGTGTTTGTTTTCCTAATGGAATTGGTTATATTTCTTTGGTTGTCCTTATCTCTGAAGCCTCCCTAAATTCTTCAGAGGTCCCCTCCTGCACTGTCCCTAAAACTGCCTAATAACCCTAGCTTGCCCTGTCTCATTCCCTCCTTTTACAAATGGAGCCCTAACTGCAGTTAGGGAAAAGGGACATAGGTCTGATCAATGACTGCTTCCTGCTGAGAGTGGGTGACATGGGGAGACAGTTAGGGTTCCACAATAGGATGACGATTTAAGGGACCCCAGAAGATGGACCGTGGAAATGTCATTTTGGGTTTTTATTTGCAGGACCATTTGGAGCTTGATGGCCTCCAGGCGAGCGGAGATGATTCAGAGGAGAGTATTAAGGATGCAGGGCCCAAACAAAAGAACAATAAAGAGAATTAGTAAGGGAACGAGAAAAGGGAGTAGCCAGGACAGAAGTTGTCCTTTTATAGAATCAAAGATTGTCTGTGTTCAGCTAAGCCCTTGTCTTGCCTGTCTTTTGAGATCATCCACAATTTGTTTATTTTTTTTAGTATTTTTAATTTTCTTCTACCTCATGAGAAGTATTTATTCCAAAGCAACATGTTTCATTTAAGAGGACACAAACTCCCCCTACTTTAGCCGTAAGCAGGTCCAGGGTTTTGTGATTTTGTATTACCACTGAGACTAGAGAGTTTAAGGAGCAATGTTGGGCTAGTGCCCTAAACACCTGGAGGTGCTGTAGCCAAAATGACAGAATTAGTGAGACCTAGGACTTCAGTACCATTTTATGTTTAGTAGCAGCAGCTAGGAGAGCCAATAGTGGCTGTGGAGGCTGCTAGTTTGGAATTTAGTTACAATTTTCTCCATCCTAATAGAGGAAGTTAGGAAAACAAAACTAAAAAATGTATAAACAGGTAGCCTGTAGTGAGCAAGGTAGCAGTGTTGTAAAGTGTCCTGGCTCAGGCTGGCCATCTGTACTAGTGAGGGGGACAATTGACCAGTAGGTCAGTCAAAAGAATTGGAGTAAGGCAGAGTAAGTGGCCCCTTAATTACCAAAAAGGTGATTTTTATGTCTGCCACTTTTAGGGTCACCCGAGGCTTGTCCATATAAACAGTAAACAGGGGAGTCTCTCTCACCTCTGGGCTTCTTCAGAGATCTTCTCCTGCACCCGGTTCTTCATAGTCAGAGGCAGCTGCCCTTCTAATGTGTCCATAAATTAAACCATTCTCCATTTCTCCAATCTCCGCCTCCCTTTACCACCTGAAGGAAACCAGGACTAGCATTAACAGTATTAATAGTATTCGTGGTCCTGGGGTGTTTGTTTTCCTAATGGAATTGGTTATATTTCTTTGGTTGTCCTTATCTCTGAATCCTCCCTAAATTCTTCAGAGGTCCCTTCCTGCACTGTCCCTAAAACTGCCTAATAACCCTAACTTGCCCTGTCTCAGGTTCAGGAAACAAAACCCAAGATTGCACAGTCCCCAGGAGACCCGTCTGAGCCCCCAAAATAAACACAGGCTTCCAGCTCAAGGCTGAATATTACACCAAACCACAGAACCAACTCAGGGATGTCAGAGTCTGGGCCAAAGTGTATTGTGCTGCACCATGATGTGCAACAAGAAACATTCTATGTGGAGCCAAGAGCCTTCATTTTTCTCACAATGTATTTTGAATAGCAGCTGCTTTGTAATGTTTGCAATAGGATCCATTTCCGGATCTGCAGGTAAATGATGTTTTAGTCGTGCTTTTATTTTACTTATTTTTTTTTAAGATTTATTTATTTTTATACAAGAACCAGGGTACAGGCCAGATGCACTGGATGGTGAGAGGATTCACCGGAGACAGAGCAGGGAACAGAACAGGCAGACTGACAAAATATACACTGCTGAAGGGAGCAGCAGGCAAGACAGGAGAGGTCTGCCCCGCCATGTGAGAGTCTCGCCGGCCGGCCAGAATTAAGTGGCGCTGCAGAGGCTGCGGACAGCCTCACAGTGCGGCGCTCAACCACCTGTGCCACCAGGAAGGCCAATTTTTACTTATTTTTTTTAACAGATTTCTTTACTTATGAACATAAGAGCTGGGGTGCAGCCAGAGGTGCGGGGGTGGAGGTAAAGGGATTCACCAGAGACATTGTGGGGAACAGAACAGGTGGACTGACGGCAATCCACTGCTGAGGGGAGCAGTGGGGAGACAGGAGAGGTCTGCGGCTCCCTGAGGGTCACCTTCCCGGCTGGGGATGTGATGTTGGCACCAGATGACATGATGAGTCCCTTCACGGTCACCAAAATGTAGGTTGTAGAGTGCGTGCGGGTCCTGGGGGTCACTCTGGGAAATGTGCCCCCAGAGCTCCTGTTACAGCGGGACACAGTGAGTTCCCCAGCCACGTTTCTCCATGAGACAGAGACACTAGTTACATTAAAGGGCAGATTTAGGGCCTCCCCTGCTGGCGCAGCAGTTGAGCGCTGGGCTGAGGGGCTGCCCACAGCCTCTGTAGCACCTGATCGTTCCCAGGTGCTGGCGAGGGTCCCACAAAAAAACAAAACAAAAAACAGGGCAGGTTTATGAGGGAAAAGGAAAGGGACAGGTTTCTCTGAGAGAGGCCTGCATGGTTGCAGGTGGGCGGCCTTGACAGGTCACGGCAGGCAGGAGGCTGCTGCTCTGCAAAGGGAGAGAGTTGGTGAGAAGAGGCACCTGTGTAGTCGGGTGGGCAGACGGACGGTGCCCCGAGCCTGTGCAGAGACTGCCCTGATACAGTCCTTTTCTCTTTGGGAAGGTCACTCCTCTGTGGAGTGGCTGCTTGTTGCTGATGTTGGGTAACAGGCAACACTAGAAAGGGACCAGAGATTCCAGGGTGGGCCCAATCTCCATATCCTTCCCCTCAGGCCTGTGCACCACTCCCTAGAGCTTCAGATCCTGCTTGGGTCTCCTGCCTTGTGACAAGGCCCTGGCGCCTAAGGATCCGACCTCCACAGCTGGGTTAATGGTCCTGTTATTCCCCTCGACCCCCACCTCCTTGCGTGTGTCAGGTTTTAGTCACGTGAGGCCTCCCTTTCCAGTCTTTCCATTCTTTTTTTTTTTAATAGAGGCATGTTTTTATTTATTTATTTGTTTGTTTGTTTATACAAGCACTGGGTACAGTCAGAAGCACGGGAGGGTGAGAGAATTCACCAGAGCCAGAGCGGGGAGCAGAGCAGGCAGAAGGACCGAAGTACACTGCTGAGGGGAGCAGTGGGCGGCAGGAGAGGTCTGCGCGCCATGTGGGACCCTCCTCAGGTGGCCGGGGAGCAGCCGGGAATCGAACCGATGCTGCAGAGGCTGTGGGCAGCTTCGCAACCCAGCGCTCAACCGCTGCGCCACTGGGGAGGCCCCAGTCTTTCCATTCTTGCCCTCCATCAGATGGAACTCGTGCAGCAGAGGCTGCAGATGGCTTCGCAGTGCTGTGCTTAACCCCTGCGCCATCAGAGAGGCCCCACACCTTGCTTTTATGTCAGCTTCAGGTAAGGGGATTTTTAACAACGATTAAAAAAAATCTTTCCCAGAAATTCAAGCATCCTTGTTTGCTGTTTTAAAGACTTGTGGATATTTTAGGGTCGGTCTGGCTGCGGCGGACACTGTCGGTGAAAGGCTGGGAGTCCCGGAGCGTGCAACAGACCCACCTGTGCCTTCTGCCCCAGCCCGCCTGCCCTAGCCCACTGTGACCTGCTCATTAGCTGGAGTTATGTTGGGACAAGGCCTGGGGGTGGACTAAAATTTCAGGGAGTGACTGGCCAGGAACCTGTGCCCCTCAGATGACCAGGTGAGCTCTTAGAAGTCTCCTGCTTCTCTCCTCCCTGCTTGAGTCAAGTTGCAAATGTGCCCCTGCTGGGACCATGGGTACTCTGTCACCCAATGGCTCAGGGCTCGGACTTTGGAAAAAGATCACCTCTGGGCCTGCGGGATAAATAAAGATGAAATTTTTCCATAACCTCTTACAATCTAAAAATCAAAAGGTAGAAGGTCCTAACTCAATGCAAATAAAGTGATGTGTGTTAAGAATTGTATTTAAAACAGGGCCTCCCCTGGTGGCGTAGCCTGTCGATCGCAGCGCTGAGAAGCTGTCCGCAGCCTCTGCCACACTGTTTCAATCCCGGCTGGCCAGAGAGTGTTCCACATGGCACAGCAGACCCGCTGCTCCCCTCAGCAGTGCATTTCAGTCAGTCTGCCTGTTCTGTTCCCCACTCTGGTGAATCCTCTCACCCCCCACATCTCTGGCCTGTACCCCAGTTCTTGTGTGCATAAATAAATCTTTTTTTTTTTTTATAGAGGCATGTTTTATTTATTTATTTTATTTGTTTGTTTGTTTTGTTTTTACATGCACTGGGAACAGTCAGAAGCGCGGGAGGGTGAGAGAAATCACCAGAGCCAGAGCGGGGAGCAGAGCAGGCAGAAGGACCGAAGTACACCGCTGAGGGGAGCAGCGGGCGGCAGGAGAGGTCTGCGCGCCATGTGGGACCCTCCTCCGGTGGCCGGGGAGCAGCCGGGATCGAACCGGCGCCGCAGAGGCCGCGGGCAGCTTCGCAACCCAGCGCTCAACCGCTGCGCCACCGGGGAGGCCCCATAAATAAATCTTAAAAGATTATTTATGCACTCAAGAATTGGGTGGTAAGCCAGACATGGGGGTTGTGTTTGAGAGGATTCACCAGAGACAGAGTTGGGGGCAGAACAGACAGACTGACTGAAACACACTGCTGAGGGGCGCAGTGGGGAGACAGGAGGGGTCTGCGCGCCATGTGGGCTGCTCCGAGGCCGGCGGGATCTACCTGACGCTGCGGAGGCTGTGGACAGCTCCACAGGCTGCGCTCAACCCGCTGCGCCACTGGGGATGCCCTAAAATACATTTTCAATGGAAATAGTAATTTTAATTTTGGAAATGACCTAAGGAAATGCTTTCAAATTCCGATAAATCTTTATGTGTAACAATGTTCAATAACACTTTATTTACAGTAAAATGATTCAAAACTATCCAAATAAACCCCCCCAATATACACAAAATTAAATGTAAAAGCTAGATACAGTAACACTAAACAGTCTTTAATGGCGTGGAAAGTCCTTCTGTTAGTGTTAAATGTTGAAAGTGGAGAATCCTGGCGGTGCTGTGATCTCACCACAGAAGAAACATATTAATGACACACCCTCTCCTCACCCCTCACGCGGGAGGAGAACAGAGTGAGAACACCTGCAGGGAGCGCGCTGGGACACCACAGGGAGAGTCAACAGTCCAGCCGCATCCAAAATGTGGACTCGTCTTGCCAAACACTGCTGAGTGACATCCTGCACAGAAACAACATGATTAATTTAAATATTAAACATCACACAAAGTTAAAATCACATGTTAATGATACAGACCCCCCCCCCCCAGCTGCCACACCCGGGCACCCGCTCTGCCCTCCCGCTGCTGGGCCTGGGCAGGAGGGGGCTCAGCCCAGAAAGCTTACAATGCACCCCAAACGCCCCCTAAACCTGCGGGAGTGAAAACAGCCCGCGGGACAGAAGGGAGCCCGCCCCGGGGGCACCCTCTGGGTCCCGAGGAGCCCGAGCGAGCCCGCGGCCGCGCGGTTCGCGCTCAGGGACGGCCCGCCCGTGCGCTCCTCCGGGCCCAACCTAAGCCCCGGAGCCCCCGCGTCCAGCCCTTCCCCGCCGGCCCGAGGCCCCTGCGCGTGGCCCCGTCCCCGCCTCGCCAGCCCCACCGCGGCCCGGCCAGAGAGTCCACGGCCCGGAGAAGGACGCAGCGTCCCCGCCCGCTCCGCTCTCCTCGCCGGACACGGTGAGCGCGGCCGGGAAGCGCCTCCGCTCCCGCCTCGGCCCCGCCGCCCGCGGGCCCCACCGCCTCCTGAGTCTCGGGGTCCGGGACTCAAGCGCTGCCCGAGAGGGGAGAGGGGCGCGCTGGGGGGACCTGTCGGCCTTGGGGAGCCACCGGTGAGGGGAGAGGATGGGGAGAAGGGCGGACGAGGAGGGCGGCAGGGGGGACGCGGTGGTTGGGGGAGCCCCCCCTCCCCGCAGCCTCTCTCGCGTCTCCTGCTCCATCCGCACATCCGGCGCCGGTTCCTTCCGTGTGGGGGCCCCACAGAGGCGGGTTCAGGCTCCCCCCCAGGGCAGGAAGTGAGTCCAAGGGGTCACCTGCACCTGTGGCCCCGGTCTCGGGGGGGTCGCGGCCCTTTCGCGCCCACGGAGCCGCGTCCGGGGAGAGCGTCCTGCCCAGCGCGGCCCTTGGCGTCCAGGACCCCGCGCCAGGGCGGGGATCCGGGGAGGGGCTCCCCTGCTTTCCGGGCTCAGGGGCCACGAGCCTGCCAGCCCCCATTATTGGCCCCGGAAAACTGAGCTGAGGGCACGGCTGCACCTTCGTCCCCGACGCAGCGCCCGCCCGGCCGGAGACCCGCCCTCCCCTGGCGCGTCTGGGGCGCCCCTGCGCAGTTTATCAGGCCCCTGCGCCCCTCCGCGCCCCAACATGACCTGGTGACTATGCCGAGAGCCCGCGCGCGCCCGCGGACCTCCCCTGCCCCCCTCGCCCCTCCTGCCCGGCCTCCTGAGCCTGGGGGGTCCCGCGCACTTGCTCAGGCTCCGGCCCCACTAGTGGACTCGGTCTGGGCGGCGGCGGCGGCGGCTGCGCTCGTGTCTGTCAGTCGGTCTCGAGGGCGACCCCGGCCCGCCGGTAGCCTCGTCCCGTCAGTGGAAGGCCCGCGGGGACCCTGGGGTTCGCCAGGGAAGACGTTTCTCGGCACAGACGCCGCGCTCCCCGCGTGGGCCAGTCCCTGAAGGCGCCGCCCCGTCCCCAGGACAGACCCCGCGGCGGGCGCGGGAAGGAGGGGGCGGCGGGCGAGAGCTCGCTGCGCATCGAGACGGTTCCCGGGCACCCCTGGGCGCTTCTTCCCCCGGAGGCCCCCGGCGCCCCCCTATTCTGCCCCCTCGGGGTCCCGCTGGTCTGTCATCGTCACCCGTGCTCGAACTGGGGAGCCCCCGACGTTTGCGGGGAAATCGCTCGTCCCAGCGGTGGGGAATCGGCCAAGCCCGCGAGGTGACCGGCGAGGGCTGGACGCGCAGCTGGGGCGCGCCAGGGCCGCGTCTGTCGGGCGGAGGGCGCCGAGGGCCGCTGTGTGACTCGGGGTCGGCTCCTCCGCCTCTCTGGTCCTCGCGCGGGCCCAGCCCCAGACCCCGCCCCCAAGGGCACGCCCCGCTCCCGGCCCGCCTCGGGCTTCTGGGAGTTGTAGTCTCGGCGGGCGCGGCGCCTTCTTGGGAGCTGTAGTTCCCGGGCAAGGGCGCCTCCCGAATGCGTCGCCCCCCACCCCCGGCCATGCGCCGGGACTGGGGTCTCCGGGCCGAGGAGAAGCGGCCAGAACTCGCCGATCCTGGCGGAGGCCGCCCCTAGCCCCCGGCGCGGGACCCGGACGGGGAGGGCGCGGCTGCGCGAGTGCGCGTCTGTTCCCTCGGGGTGCAGAGGGGGGGCGACCCCCAAGCCAGCCCCTTCCTCCCCTCCCCCGCCCGCCTGCCTGTCAGTCCTCTCCCTGATCCCCGCTGTGTCCCCCGGGAGGAGAGAGGTGCAGCCCGAGGGCGCGGGGACCCCCAGCACGGGGGGGGAGGGCACACCGGCCCGCGCCCGCAGCGCCCGGGGCCCTGCGCGATCTGACCCTCGCCCGCGTGGCCGCCGCTACCCGGCGCCGCCCTGCCGGGGCCTGGTCCCCGCTCGCCGCACCGCCCCGTCCCGCCCCGGCCAGGGCCCCGCCGCCCTGCGTGCGCCCCCGCTCCGCCAGCTCCCCACGAAGCCGCTGCTCCCGGGACGAAGGGCACCGGCTCGGGTTTCCCTTTTCTGCCCTGCAGGTCCGGAACCGAGACTGCGGCGGAGCCGCGGGGAGCGGGACGCACGTGCTGCGGCCCCGCCGCGGAGCGACTGGCCGCGCCGGCACCTCCCCGCGGGCTGGAGGGTGGAGACAGCACGGCGGCGGAGTCGGGGAGCCCTGGAGGCGCGGGGGCGGGGGTCGGCCCTCCAGGCTCAGCGGCACTACACACCTAAGGACCCACCTTCCAGAAGCCGCCGCCTTCGTGGGGCGCCCCGCTGCCGCAGCACCGGTGGCCCACTGGGCGCAGGTCCACCGCGGCCTCCCTCGGAGTCATAATCACAGCAGGACCCCAACATCATCTCACCAGTCACGACCCCGTGGTGTGCAACTTGGGCAGTCAAAAAATAATCAGCCACCCCTCCCCCGGGCACCGAGCCCCCACCAGGTACTAAGTCCCCCTCAGAGGCACGGAGTCCCCCCAGAGTCCTCCCAGGGCCCCCCCACGCACCATGTCTGTGGTCCCCTGGCCGCCTCTGCCCTATTTCCCCGTAAGTCCGGGTAAGCGAGGGTTCGTGTGAATATTCGCTCATTTGCCTGAATGTGCCCCCACAGGGGCGGCCCCTGGGGATCCCGTTCATTCTCGGACACCCTACACATGGGGTACCCCGAGGTGCCCACAGTCTGGGCACAACATCAACTGACGAACTGCCCTGTGTCTAGGACAACAGGTCTACACAAAAATCCCACGTTTAAAAAAACGAGATTTTCCAATTATACTGGAAAGTGTAAAGTGTGGTGCATTCCCTAATCCAACACCTTTGAAATTTTAAACATCACCAAGAAAAACAAGAGTTTACTAGGCTATATAACAGATAAATGATTTTAAAATAGGTCATGGAAATGTCTGTTTCCAAATTTATTTTGAAATAAATTATAAGACCTGACCTCGCTTCGGTGGTAAATACCTTTGCTTGCGTGTTTAACCAAAATCATCTCCTAAACAACCGCAACATCATCCCAACAGAATGAATCTCTTCTTATCCCTGTACAATCCATACACAGGTTCCCTTGTTCCACCCCTAAAAGTTTGAAAAACATGATTTATTTGAAAATAAGTTAAGCACCAGGGATCTGCGGGTGTATAACTGCAGGAGGAGAGTCCAGACCGGGGAGGCCACTCAGCTCAGCTCAGCTCTGCTCAGCCAAGGAACCAGGGACTGTTGGACTTTTTGCTTCCGTTCTAGCATCACCTGTACTGGCCCTGGTGCCCAGGGCCTGAATCTCCCCTGTACTCTGGATGTCACCCGGGCTTCAGCACACAGTGGGCCCTCAGGAAGAATGAGTCCTGGGGTGAAAGGATGCAGGTGAGCATCCACAACACTAGCCCTGGGGGCCCTCCAAGTCAGAAGGCAAGAGTTCCGGTTCTTTCCTGCGCCCGCCATTGGCACACAGTAGCCCGCTGGGAGGGCCCAAGGAGCCGCCCCGCCGGGGAGCCGCCCCAGGACCGTGCACGCAGCTGCGAGGCTCCGCGTAAGAGGAGGGTCCTGGTACCCCCAGCTGAGCCGAGCCTTGAGAACACCGGCAGGCGCGGAGGGCGGCCCTGTCCCCAGAGGCGCGCGCGCAAAGGTGGCCGCGCAGGCGGAGCGACCCCAGGGGAGGGCCCGAGGCCACCGCCGGTGGCCTGACCTCGGGGCCGCCCCCAGCCCCCAGGCGGGCGCCAGACACCCGCTCCCCAATTCCTGCCGACGGGGAAGGGACTCCCCGCCGCCTCCGCCCCCGCTTCCCAGGTCCGAGGCCATTGGGTCGTGTCCTGCGTCCCGCGTCCTCGCATGGCTCGTGCTGGTGCGCGCCGACCCCACCGCCTCGCCTCGGCCGCCCGGTCTCGGCGTCTCCCCGGGAGCGAGGCCGCTGGGACCAGCTAGAGCCGCGCGCGAGGCGGAGCCCGGCTGGGGGGGGGCGTGGGCGCCCCCTGACGGCCGCGTAGACGGCGCCTGCCCACCCCCCACGCCCACCCGCGAAGGGGGTGCATTTGGCGACGGCGCCCGGCGCGCGGTTCCAGGAGGCCGGGGCGCGCGGGCGGGACGGGCCGATCCGGCGGGCTGCGCGGAGGCGTCCGACGCGGGGGGATTGTGAACGCAGCTGTACAGGGGCGGGCAGCGAGCTCGCTGCGGCTGCGCGCAGCGCGGGTCGACCAGCTCTCCGCGGCGGCCGCGCCTCCTCCTGCAGGTCGCCGGGACCTGCACAGCGCGGGGTGCACCTCTGCGGGCGGGTCCCGGGGGAGGCAGCGGCTGTCCCGCGCCCGGGGTTGCATCTCCTTCGGCCTGACTGCCGCGTCCCGTCCCGGGGGAGGGAGCCCCGGGGGTGTGAGGGACCACCGGGGTCCAGCCCCGCTGCCGAGCCCGGAGGTCGGAGATGCCGCCGCTGTTCACCCCAAGTCTCCCGCAGGAGCCGCGGGGTCGGGGGCCGCGAATCCGGCGGGATCCGTGACCCCAGGGTCGG